AGGATAAGCTATTTTGGTTTTGCGTTTTGTTTCCCCCTAAACACTCATATAGTGTTTTAATGCATGTGGCACTACAATTTAAGGGGATGAGATATATTTTTGTGTATTCTAGGTTTATTGTGGGAGGATTTTAGAGCTATTAGAGTTGGATTTGCAGGATTTTAGTGAGTCAATTCAAAAATGTATGCATATTTTACTTGTAAATATTGTACATTTGTGAATAGTCACTCTTAGACTTGTCAGAAAGCCTTTATGGGTATTAAGTTCAAGAGTGAATGACACTAGGTTGTGGTGTTTAGATGTTCTGGTTCAGTAGGTTCAGGCAGAAGGATCTCTTTGATTTTGCACAGAACAAACACCCTCTAATGTCGATCTGGGATCTTTCTTTAAATGTTCAGTTTATTTTCTGAAGATTATACCCACAGCTGCTTTATCAAATCTAAACATAGAACAATTAGTACTAGGAAGTACATACATTCAACATAAATGTTTTTACTTTTTGCCTTTTAAATCTTTTTTTTTATTTACCCATTATAAAATGTGCATTAGGATTTTATTTTTTGACTGAGATCAAATAAATTATTAGGATAACTTGTTACATCAACAGAAAAAAGTACAAAAATTCATAATGGTGTGTGCCAAGATTTATAGTTGAAATATTGTCCCTGTCAGGAAAATGTATGGAAATATGTACCTCCGGAGTGTGGATTGTCGGTTAGTGTATGTACGTTAATGCCTCAGCTTTAATTTTTGTCACTTCCACTGAACTGCCTCTAAATACAGACAGTTTCATCACTGATTGTACCCAAGTGAACACTAATGTCTCTAAGGGAAGAATATGTCTTATTTTATTGTAGCAGACTGCTATACAAAATATTTTATGTGGAATAGCTAATTGAATTTCTATTACCTGTGCAACAAATCAATCATTCGGTAGCTACCATTGACAGGCTGTTCAGAGTCATGCATGTATGTAACGAGATGATGAAGTGTTGGTTAACAAGAAACTCTTCTATTGTGCTTTTCAGTAATGCAAGAATGATGGACTATCAGTCTCATTTTTGGTGCAGTTTAGGATCTAATTAATTAGATGTTCAATAAGTTGGAAAGAGTTATTTACAAAACAGTGAGTCATGCAGTTGGAAAAATTCCCTAGTGTGTTTGTTATTCTGATATTCAAAACTGAAGTTTGTTCTCCTAAAGAGTTTGCACACTAGTCTGCAATTTGTCAAAAGGCCAATTTAAAATGCGTGGGAAGTTGGTCAATGGCGGTAATTGATCAGGAGGACTTTGTGTCTTGGGAAGTGTTACGTTGCACAGAAAAGAAAAATTACCCTACACCAGAACTTTTTAAAGGGATGGTTTTGCGACATTGGCAATAATTTAAGATTTTTGGGGTTCTTAAATGGTTACCGATTTATTATTTGTCATAGAGCGCATTTGAGTTGATGTTAATTAATGAAACACTGAGTTGGGATGAAAGAGAAAGATACATCACAAACTAAAAACCCTCAAATATGCAACACACTTTAAAACAAGCCCAAAGATGAGGTTACAGATCGTGGTAGCCAGGCTTTGCTCTAAAGGCAGCTCTTGACAGGCACTTGTAAATAGGTCACTTTTACAGGGAGAGCTCATATCAACAGGGCAAGAGAGCCAATCACCTGCTCTGCGTCTGTCCAATCAGAAGTTTTTCCACTCAGTTTTGCATTGCCCCCCTCCCATCATGCGAAACCTCCGTTCTATGCTTCCATTCCACCTCTGTCTTCACCCCAAACACGTCTGTATGTATCCCCAGCCATAAAAAGTTGTTCTGACATCTGTGTCCTGAAGCACGAGGGACCCGGGTGGGGGCAGCATGCTCTTTGGTTTGTCTCTCTCTTTTATTTTTCTTTGTGTGAATGTCTTGTGGGCAACCAAAACACAAATAAAACCATGGCTGAAACCATCCTATCTGAGTCCTTGTAGTTTCATGTGTCTCGTGTACCTGTCCATCACTCTGTTGCACGCACACCGACAGGCAGAGCAGAGCGGCAATCATGTGAAATCTCCGACAGCATGAGCTCCATCGGCTCTTGCCTTGCCTTCATGACTTGTTTACATGCACACACTCATAAGAAGCCGCTGTGAATGCAACATCGCATTTGTTTTCCTCTTTCCAACCTCATTCAACATGCTGGCTAACTAGGTTATGTTCAACACATAGCCTGCCCATCAGAGATTGTGCATGAAAATCATGGAATAATCCGGTTTAGTGCATCGAAATGTGACACAAATGATGCAATGAATCACGGGAGTTTAATAAAACCATGCAACCATGAGGATTCAAACATGAAGAAAACAGCTTGTTACACACATAAAAGTCAGAGAACCGCTATTTTAGCACTTCCCCGAAGGCACAGGTTCATTTTAAAGAATGGATTTTGTGTCGCTAGATAGTGCATCACCCAGTTCAGCGATGTTTTTTCTCCACATTCGATATATTGTTGAAAGGGCAATGAATTGAAGTTATATTGGTACATCTTCAAGACGGCTTCTCTCCAGGTTTGCCAAGTCAACAAGAAGAACTGCCTGAAGAGAACGGCTTTAAACAACTTCCGACTCTTCTGGAGTTTTAATGAATTTTAAAACCAACCAAAGAAAATTGGAGTGGTTTTAATGGGTTCACTGTGGTCAGATCAATGTTCTGGAGTTCACCGGGAAGAACTACATTCACTAGGGCCTAAAGAACGAACCGAGCAGCAAATGAGATTTGTCTCTGCTTGCTGCTCCCATAAAAATTGTTGTCCGGTCAGAAAGATTAGTCACCGCAGGGTTGGTGTATCGCCTCAACATCCATCAAGCCGGCCTTTTCGTGTTGGTGTCTAAGTGTGAATGTCTCTTTCTCGCTCTTTGACTTGCTTCTATCTCCGTTTGTTTGTTCTGTACTGGCGGTCGATGAATAGATATGATCCGGGTGTCAGAGGGCACGACAGGGCGACCTATGAAGCCCAAATCTTCCCCGAGGAGCACCCTGACCAGCGTCTTGCAGTATCTCGGTGAGCCACACAATATTACAAATGCTTCCTTTGAGCTGTAACTAACAGATGACAGTGAATATTCTGTCATTTCAGAGACTCGTCCAGCAATGCATGTTCAACGGCCTCATCGCACCCCTGGCCTACAGGTGCAGCCCCCACGGCGCCTACTTTCCTCTCTTCCCAGCCATGGCCCACATGGCATGTTGGGAAAACGGAGCTACCATCACCACAGCAGGGTTGAATCTGCTGAGAGGAGAGCCAGTGCTCCAGGACAAGGTGGGTTTACAGTAAAAAATACATACCACTCTTAAAAATAAAGAGAACCATTTTGGGTTCTCTAAAGAACCTACTAGCTTATTTGAAACAATATCTATAAACGTTCCAAAAGGTTTTTTTTTTTTTTGCAGTGATGTCATACAACATTTTTTGCTTCCTCAAAAGACCTTTCAGTGAACAATTCTTAAAAGAACCATTGTTTTTCTTAGTGTGAACTACATGTTAATAATCTAAAGAACCTTTTAATTCCATGGATGTTAATGGTTCTTCATAGAACCATCAATGCCAATAAAGAACATTTACTTTTAAGAGTTCTCTATTATAGATCAGTGGTGTAAACATAAAAATAAAGGTTACCTGGCTTCTTTTTTCTTAGTGTAAAGAATATTTTAAAGAACCTCTAAACATCTAAAGAAACTTTTTTTCCAGTAAAGAACCTTTTTTATGCATTGAAAAGTTTCCATGGGATGTTAAAGGTTCTTCATGGAATCATAGATGCCCATAAAGAACCTATATTTTTTGGAGTATAGATGTCAAAGATGGTTAATAATAATGGTATTATATGCATACTTCTTACTAGGCACCTCTTTTTTTGTCATAGAAAATCCAGCCCATATTGTGGGACCCATTCTGGTAAGTAACAATGACTTGATTCACTCATATCACTGGTTTAGCTTTAGACTAAAGCAGGAAGGTCTCATATATTATCAGTGTGGTTTCATCAGACTGGAAGACAATAACTTGCTAGCATTTGTGTTGCTGAGAGAGCGAGATTCCATCTTATAACATATTTGAATGCAGATACTGTTGACGCTGTGAATCGGTTCAGGTGACAGCTTCAATCTCCAGCCTCGGAGGTTTCCCACTGATTATTGCGGCCGGGTGAAATGGAAATGAGAAGCGAGAGACAGCAAAACAAACACAAAAGCACTCACTGTTCATCCATGAGATGAATAATGTAAATATAGTGGATGGACCTTCACCTCATTTTTGGCCTGTCATTTCTAAAACTGAAGAAGATTAAAAGTTGCTTTATTGTTTCAGTTGTTCATCTCTATGGATGTTATTTGCATCTTGTGGGACCAAACAAATGTATAGATCCCAGGTTGAGTTTCAACCTAGGAAAACAATTGGAGAAAATTGCTTTGTTAATAAGACTTTTTTTGTGCATCTTGTGATTTAAAATTCATTACAAGTCTGTGTATTGGGGAGTAACTAAGTTAGCCATCGGTAAATTATTCTGTTTATTACATGACTACTTAAAATGCAAGCACATTAAATATTAATTAAACAATTTTACTATAATTTTCTTTAATGTTGTTAGATTATTTTATCTTTCACTAAGAAGAATAATCCATTTCAAAGCAGAAAACTATGGAAGCCCGTTTCCGCCACTGAATAAAAAATAAAAAAGGTAATTGCGACATTTTATCTCACAATTCTGACTTTTTTTCTCAGAATTGCGTGATATAAACTGGCAATTGTGAGTTATAAAGTCATAATTTTGAGAGATAAACTTGCAATTCTGAGAAACAAAAGTCAGAATTGCGTGCTATAAACGTGCAATTGCAAGACATAAAGTCACAATTCTGAGGAATAAAGTCAGAACTGTGAGATATAAACTCACAATTCTGACTTTTTTCTCAGTTCGCAATTCTGACTTTATAACACGCAATTGCGAGTTATAGTCAGAATTATGAGATATAAACTCCCTATTCTGAGAACATATCAGCCCCCCCCCCTCAAAATTGGACTTTAACTCGCAATTGTGAGTTTATATCACGCAATTCTGACTTTTTAACTCACAATTGCGTTATAAATTCAGAATTTCGAGATATAAACTTGCAATTCTGAGAAAAAAAGTCAGAATTGAGAGTTTTTATCTCGCAATTGTGACTTTACATCTAGCAATTCTGAATTTTTAACTTGCAATTGTGAATTTATATCACGGAATTCTGAGAAAAAAGTCAGAATTGTGAGTTTATATCTCGCAATTCTGACTTTATAGGCTAATTCGCAATTGCGAGATAAAAAGTCGCAATAACCTTTTTTTTTTTTTAATTCAGTGGCGGAAACGGGCTTCCATAGAAAACAGTCAACCTATAGCAACACACTAATTTTATATATGTGATTTTTTTTTTTTTGCTAAATCATTTTTTATTTATTGGTTTTGGGACTCTTGAGCTTCTAGGCATCTACCAAATGTTTATGCTCACTATAAGAATGAATACTGAAGTCCTCTAAGGGCATATAGTCAGTAATTCTTTTGCAAGAGGGAAATATTTCAAGATGCCATCTCCTTCCCTATTTCAGCAGCATAATGGAAGCAGCACCGGTGCCTCCAACGCTCGTAGCAGTGGCCTGATGCTCCGCAAGAGACGACCCAACTGGATTGATGCTCCCGATGACAGCTTCTTTCTGGTTTCCCGAGAGACGAGGTGTGCAAACCAACCTCGCTGTCTATTTTGGCAGTATTTCCCATGGCATCGCACTCCTCTAAAACCTAAACTTGTCGTGCCTTGTTCACTAAGGGACACCGAAATCCACTTTTGTGTGCTCTCATTTGGTTAGCTTTACTCAGGCCTGTACATAGAGCCTAGAGACAAATTTCATAGAAAACAGCAGGGCAGACACACTCCATGTCAAAAAACAGCCCTTACCTTGTTCTTCCATTGGCACCTGCAGAGGTTATCCCCTGAGATGGCATGACACATCTGATTAAGTTTCCATCATTTTGATTCAACCTTCACCTAAGAGTGACTGATCTTGGTGACAGGATTGGCACATGTGTAATTACTGCATTGGTCATACCCAGTGACAGTGGAGGGTAAGAGGGTCTAAGCCGGAGTTGTCAGTGTAGGAAATGGGCGAGTCAATCTCAGATGCCAGGGACAATTTTTCAATAACAAAGATCCTATAATTAACAATACCCATGATCCCATTAATCTGTGGTGGCATGGAGAGACAACTGAAAAAGAATGATTTTTGATGCAGATTGAGGTTAGGTTTAATCCAGAGAGATGAGACTCCACAGGTAACTTAATGCTTCACAAACACACATACACTCCCAGTCAAAAGTTTGAACACACAACTTTAAATTTTTTTTACATTTATTTATTTGAGATGTTTAGGATTCTCATGATCCTAAAACCTGTTATGCTTAAATGCTTGAAATTAGCTTTGTAAATAAAGTGCCATTTTTATAAATTCTGAAAAGATTGCATTTTTACATAATTTTTACTTTATATAACATATAGGAATTATTATTTATTATTACATAAATCCCATACTTCATTAGTTATTTCAGTTTTGCTAACTGATTTCGTTTTTTTGTCTTGTTTTATTGTGTTTTATTTATTTACTTATTTAATTTTTTGTTTGGTTTGATTTGAGTTTTTTGTTTTACTTTGGTTTTAGTTTGTTTTTTGTTTAGTTTTGCTTTGAGTACAGTTTAGTTTAGTTTTTGTTTTGTTTTGTATATAAAATAATCAAAAATGAGTAGTTGTGTCCAAAGTTTTGATTGCCAGTGTACTTGTCTCACTACCTTTGTGAATGTGCTTTTTTAGTTCCTTATAACAATGAAGAGTCATAGCAACATTTCTCAGTAGAATTGTTTGGCAGTGTTATTTAGACTGGAATTAAAATTAAACAAACAAAGATGTTATTTTGAGCAGGGGGAATTGGACACATGATTTGCCCTGTTGTTTCATGACTACTTTTTGACTACTTTTTAGTGACTGTTTGCTTGTCTCGTTTTGTTGCTGCAGCTGTTAGACACCTGAACATGGTAAGATCGCACGCACCGTACACAAAACCTAAACCACATTACCTGTGGAGTCTTGCAAAATGTATGAAATGTATGACCAAAAGAGACACTCGATTAACCTATACACTCAATATGAACTGCATTTCTGGTGGCTTTTGACACCTCAACCTGCAAAATGTGTTTTTATGCTTAATGTAGATCAGACAGACAGAAGTCAGATAGTCATAATAGTTCACCCACAGCAGCAAGGGGTTTGGTTTTAACATCTTTGGCATTGAGAAGTAGATGTGAGCTTGAAGAAAAATGCCTCTCCATTACAGCCACATCCATATGAGCCATGACTTGCACAGGTCCCTATGGCCTCGAGCGCTGGAGCGGATGCTAGGCTAAATTTAGCGCCCCTGCTCTGAAAGATTAGCCTTTAACTAGGCAAGAGACCCAGAGACAAATGGGATCTGGTCTGGGACTCAGCCTGGTTCTCTAACAGGTTTACACCAGACTGTCGCGACTCTCTCTTGCTGAAATTGCACTCTGTTGTTTGAGTTGATGTTAAAATAGATAGTAAATATATGCTTCATATCGGTTTGCTGTTGCTTTGCAAAAGAACTAATCAAATCCATCAGTGCAAAAGCATGCAACCTAATCATAGTTATATTACGGCTCTGTGCTGGTAATGAATGAATATGTGTATTTGTGTTAACGTAGTGTGATTTATAAAGTAAACACATATGCTATAAATGCAAGCACATTCTAGAATATCATCATGCATTTGTTGTTCGAGAGACCCAGTTAACGGTTCTTTCATTATGGCCAATCTAATCTAAGGGCTGTCCCCTGTGGATGCCTGTCGGCCTCATTCATTTTGCATGAACATTAGACCCAGGCGATTCATTCATTTCTCTCTCTGCTATATGGACCCGATCATGAATAGAACATTGTTTATGTCACTAAGCCATGTTGTTTTATGCTATTTCGCTTAATAATTGCTACCTCTTATATCTGCAACGTGCCGAGGTAAACGCAATTGTACTATGTGATGCACAAAGGAAAACCGAATCTGTACAGTTTTCAATTTAGTTTTCTTTCTTGATATTTTATAAACTAGTAAGCAAGCTCACATTGCAAAGCTTGCCAGATGTGATAAGCATGTTAGTTCTTCTTGTGTATTTCCTGTCACAATATTTTAGAAATATCCTGTTGCACACAAAGTATTGCACAACACAGGGGATTCCATGATACTTGCGTTCTAAATTATTGCAATGACTCGGTATAGTCAACGTTTTGCTTTAATTAATATTTTCAAATATATTTTCAATACCATATATTTAAAATATTTAATAATTAATACACTACTGTTCATAATTTTGCCTTGGTAAGATTAAGAGTTTTTAGGCTCACTAAGGCTGCATTTGATATAAAAATACAGTAATATTTTTTAAATATTATTACAAATTTAAGACAAATGTTTTCTATTTTTTTCCTATAAAGTATAATTTATTCGTTCATAATTTTGCCTTGGTAAGATTAAGAGTTTTCAGGCTCACTAAGGCTGCATTTGATATAAAAATACAGTAATATTTTTAAATATTATTACAAATTTAAGACAAATGTTTTCTATTTTTTTCCTATAAAGTATAATTTATTCCTGTGATGGCAAAGCTAAATTTTCAGCATCATTACGCCAGTTTTCATTGTCACATGATCCTTCAGAAATGCTGTTTTGCTGCTCAAGAAACATTTCTTATTATTATCAATGTTGAACTGCTTAAATTTTTTTTGTGGAAACCATTATTAGTATGTTTTGATGATGAATATAAAGTTAAAAAGAACAGCATTTATTTGACATAGATTTTTGGAACATTTTAAATGTCTTCACTATCACTTTTGATCAATTTAAGGCATACCTAAAAACAAAGGACCTATTATGTATTGTTAAGTATAAGCTATGACATTCTCAAAGACAATGATATGTTGTGTTTTATCTTCCTGTTCCCTCAGGAAGGCCAGAAAGCTGCTCTCCCGTTCACAGTTAAGAAGAGCGTGCAGACAACCATGTGAGCAGATCAGCCTGCGCAGGGTCCCCCAGGGGCCAGCGCAGGTACCTGTCCTGGCGCCCCCTCACCCCAGTTTACGGATGCGAGGCCCAATCGTCATCCACGACTGACCCCCTCGCCTGCATTGTTCCCTCAGCCTGTTCTGTCACTTTCTCATTTGCTGCCTAACTCTGCACTGCACAGGCCACAAGCCACTAAAACACTTCTTATTCCTCTTTAGCAGGGACGCGGGAAGTAGGGGTGCTGAGGGGGCTGCAGCACCCCCTGTTTTCACATGGTTGCAAATGCAACGCCAAGTTTGTTCATTTAAATTTATTCAGTTTTGATCTCTGAAATGTAAATTGTAAGTGGGCTATAATAAACCCATGTTTATCTTTATAAACATGATTAATTTTACTTGTGCTGTTTTCTATATGGAATGATTAGCCTAATCCTCATGAACACGTGACGCTAGCCCCCCCCCAACACGGACACACACAGCAACCCCAACCGAAAGCATCTTCCCGTGCCCCTGCTCTTTAGTCTACTTCTTCTAAAACTTTCGCTTCCTATTCAGGACAAAAGGCTCACAGTAATAAAGCATTTAGCTAATAACCCCCAATAAAATGATACTTGTATATTCAGAACCTTCTTGGATGGCAGCCTGAAGCTCTTGTTTCAATATCTTTCTAAGTACTGAATGCTCATTAAGTTTCAATACAAACACTTTTACCTTGCAGCAACTTGTAACATTAGCTCTAAGCACTTGTTTGATGAGAATCTATGGCTGTGGAAACTAAACTTACAGGGTTCCACGAGTGGCCATACCTCAAATGTGTATCATGTACAGTCAGATCAATGCTGACCACTCAACAGACTCTTTTGAGAAGTGTTAGTGTACTCTTTGTAAATTCAGTTAGCTCTGCATTGAATGGTTTCCTTTATTTCTCTGTATCTTCTGTGTGTATCATGACAAGTACAAGTTTGTGAGCTGTTTTTATATTGTATTCAAGCGAGGACTGGATTTTATGTTGAGTTGCTGGCTATTAGGTGGTCTTAACTGAGAGCATGTTCAATAGATTCTTTTAACTGGAGATGTTGTAATGATTCGTGGAAGTCAAAGCAGTCTTTGCAACTCTTAAATATTAATTCAGGAATTATGGTTCTGTTCCCCTGGACATTAAAGACTCTTTCAGATGCCCTTTGGATGTTTTTAAGGAAGAAACTCATTGGCTTTTTAACTTCAAAGGGCAATGTGACAGCATGTGAGTGTGAAACAATAAGCTATTTTGTTTTCTATGCCTCATACATTTCTGTTGTATTTCATTGTGTGTCAAACATTTACTGAAAAATGCTAAATAAAAAAGCGCAGTACACATTGTATGTCTGTGTGATAATACGAAAAGCAATTGATGCATGTCACAGGCAGAAAACATGACAACAAACTATAGAAAGGTGTACAGTATAGCATATTATAGAATGTATTGTGCAAAATAATAATTCATTTTCACAACCTCATGTTGTTCCAAACCTGTATGACTGTTGCAGAACACAAAAGAAGATATTAAGAAAACATTCTTCAAAGTTTTATCTTAAGTGTTAGAAAGAACGTCATACAGGTATGGAACAACATGTGAAGGTGAGTAATAAATGAATTTTAATTTTTACCTTTAAGACACATTTTAATTCCCCCCAATGCTCAGTTTCTCAGGTAGATTAACGTTTTCGGTTCGTTTTCGCACTCATCTTGAACTTCGTCAGCCCTAATGAGTTGGTTTTGCCCTTTAGGGTGTCACGAAACCAAGCGCTAACGTGGCAGTAGATGACTGGATCCAGTGCACTGTTCATGTAGGTTAAAGCTAAAGAAGCATGAAAACACACCATGAGGAATTCTGAACAGGAAAACACTTGAAGGAAGATGCCAAAAGTGACTGTAGGTAGGAAACACAGAACAAATATGATCACAAGAAACAGAAGCAATCTCACTGCCCGCTTCACCCTGCGGTGTGCCCCCTTAGACTGGCGACCGTGGACGTGAAAGGAAACCCGCACAAAGCAGAAGACCACCAGTGCAAATGCTAACAGGACCTCTATCAGCTGGACTGAATTATATATCCTCATCTGAACCGACGGCCATGTCCATGAGAGAAAAGTGTGGCATGTGAGCTTTGAAGAGTTTTTCTGTGATGCGAGAACCAGGTTCAGGGCGGTTGGGAGGCGAAGGAGTAGAACAACCATCCAAACCATGCTAGCCAACATTATAGCTTGTCTCACACTCATTCGACAAATGCGATGGTGTGGGTGAAGGATCCTGAAGAAGCGGTCCACGGCTAAAATTGACATGAAAGCCATGCTTGCTGAGTAGTTTACTGATATGATATATAAAATGAGGCGGCAAAAGGATTCGCCAAATATCCAGTCTTCACTACGGAAGAGATAATCTATGCGGAAAGGCAGCCCAGTGAGGAGTAGGAGGTCAGATATCACCAGACAGAAGAGATACACATTGCAGGCTTTCCATGTTGACTTGAAGAACAAAATCCACAGAGCAAACACATTTCCAGGCAACCCAAAGACGAGCTCCAAAATGAGAACAGGCTTTAAAATGGAAGAAACAAGGGTCTGAGGTTCTGTGCAGGAGGTGATGTTCCTCATGATGAAAAGTAACCTAAAAGTAAATTAATATCGTGTTAACACAATCTTGTGTTCGCCAATTCTGCTCAGTTAATGGTGAATTGTGGTGGAATAAACCCCCTAAATTATTTTTAATTCATAATCTTAATCCTTAGTCTATTTTTGGCGAAAGAATGAAGAAAATATAATCAAGGTAGATTAAAAGCCTTTGTAGACTTACCAAATGAGGAGTTGTTGTCGTTATCGTGACGGTTAGAGATCGATTTTGTAAGTTGCAGTAAGTTGTTGGGAAACGATACCACTGTGGGCGGAGTAAAGGAAGATTAATGATCTTTACGTTTGATATCTGTTATTATTTTATTTAGATGGCAAATCAGTAACGTTAATCATATCACATCATCAACTGTAGGCTATGCGGTGGGAAAAAAAACCTAAATCGAAAGAAGAGCCGAGATGAATTCTTGAAATGTGATGTCACTTCAGGGCAGTGGTGTACTCTCATAGTAGCCCACCATACTGGGAGACAACTGGGACATGTGATAAGAATATGTTCTGTTTTATTATAAAGTGTAAAAACCTCACAATAAATGCCAAGCAGTATATGTGCTTCTAAAACGGCTATATATTTTTTGGGGGGGACTTTGGGACAGACAAAACACGTATTCCTCAACCATACGTAGTCGCTGTACGCAACGCTCTTGAGCTCTGTTATTGCACTGTCGTGCTGAAGCTCCAGTGGCGCAATCGGTTAGCGCGCGGTACTTATACAGCAGTACAAAGCAGAGCAATGCCGAGGTTGTGAGTTCGAGCCTCACCTGGAGCAGAGTTTTGCACGATATGAAATATAGGGGTGTCTCTGCAAAATCGCACAAGATTGGTAGTTGGTAGACGGTCTCAACTAAGTATGTGCTGAAAATAGTTACAGGACTTCGTAACTCACACTGCTGCGTAAAGCGACTACACTGTTATTGAGCAGTAAATGTGAGGACAAACCTCAGACTGTATAAAAACATGGACGTAGTGTCCGTGAAGTCACCCGTAGGGTGCCGAAGATAGTTTTTGAAGCTCAAAAGTGGGCGGAGTATTCGTCGCCATCTTGACAGCGCGTCACTCCCGGATAATCGAAGATGGGTGAAGAGGCGGGAGCTGGTTGTTGAAACCACGCCCACCTAGCTCGATGGTGGTGACCGCAGCGGCAATCCACCTGTCACTCAAGTGGCCACGCCCCTAATTATGCAGACCTTTAAGGCTTAATATAATTTAAACGGATGAGTTATAAAAAAATTCACCCCCCCTCACAGTTGTCATGAAGGGCAAAACTAGCTATATAGACCAAAATCATTTTTTGAACCAGGCTGTAAACATGTTTTTTTCTGCTGTAAAGTTGGGCATTTTAACATGGGGAGTCGATGGGATTGACTCCCTTTTGCAGCCAGCCTCTAGCGGCCAGTTGACGAATTACAGTTTAAGTCACTTCCTTGTTGGCTCACGAGAGAGAGCGGGAGGTTGCCGCTCGGGACAAACAGAGGAAGTCCGTTGTGTGTGAACGAACAACACGGTTGCATAGTCACAATGTGTAGCGTCTGCGTCTATGGCGGCCAGGAGCCTGTAGGGGGCAGCATTGCGTAAGGTTCAGTAAAGCAACACACTCTTGAGACATTCGCCACGTGTTAAAACCCCAACGCTCTGGAACTTTATTTACTCTGAGGTCTGTGATTTGAGGGATCAAATGTATCCAGAACGGATACATTAAATATACAGTTCAATAATGTAGTTTATTTTTGTTTTGTTATTTTTCTATCTGTCACTTTTTCGCTGGTTAACTGTATGTTTTCTTGACAGTGAAGATGCTTCATGCGTTTGAAACAGTTAAAAACCGTTTTTGTCACGGTCATCCATGATTATTTGATGTAAAAGTCACTGTTGTCTGTTTTTCTTTACACAGTTTAGAGGTCTGTGTTGGGTGTAGAGTTATAGCCTATTAGTCATCCAGAAACATCTAATCACAGCAATGATTACATGTTTCTTTTTAAATGTATGTTCTTGGCGCACATTTACATGTAAACATCACATTTACATATAAACAGCACATTTACATATAAACAGCACAGCCTTGTCAAATCTTTTGGTCTGATCAGATTTCATCTGAGCTCTACCAATGCCAAAAGTGTCATGTCAAATCCCACAAAACAACCACTTTTGATTCTTGACTGGGAAATAGACCTAGAGCAGAATTCTGGAATAAATCATTCCATGTGTTTTTATGATTACAGTCTCTTTAAATCTATCTGTCTATCTTATTATGTTTTAAATACACAATAAACAGGTTTATGTATTTATCATAAGCCAATCCAATTTGTTTCCGTCTCATACAATAGCAAACAACTGAATATTGTTTAATATTACTGAATACTGTACTGGATATTGATTATTTTAAAGATGCTCAAACTTTTTAAAGGGGTCATACATCGCTAAAAAGAACATTATGTTGTGTATTTGGTGTAATGCAATGTGTTTATGCGGTTAGATTGACATGCTTAATGGCCGACTGACCCGGTACACTCTCATTCATTTCATTCACGAACGACATGTACCAGTTCGGTCATTTCGTTCACGAACGAGAAGATCTCTCTCGTTCAGACTCAAAAGAAACTCGTTCAGTGAAGGGTGTATTCGTTCACTACATTCAACAAATCACATGGTCCGTCACATCTCATACTCGAAGGCTATTGGCTCGAGGTTTAGTTAATCTTTGACAGGATGAAACAGTCCACAGATACCCGGTTCACTGATCTGCGCATGCGCTGCCAATAGCGCCGCGCTGCTCTGGAGGGAGGAATTTCAGTGAACGAGAAATATGAGTCAATGGATTACGTGAACCAAAAAGATTCGTTCAAAAAGAACGATTCGTTTACGAACATAACAACACTACTGTAATGCCATCTCCAGGCGTGAAGAGACAACATCAATAAAACCCTTTACGAGGCATTTGCTGCATCCAGTGGGGACATAATTACTGATTATAATGACTTATACTGTGTTTTTACGCGTTGCGTTGCGTATCGCGCCACATAAACATAAAACCATGTCTGCATTCACTCCAAAGAGAAAGGAAAATTTGAAATTGCATCATATGACCCCTTTAAGTGAATTTTCTGAGTACATAATTTTCTGAGTACAGAAATCTTACAGATTTATTTTATGACTGACAAATATACATAACATTAAGTTTATGTCTATCTATCTATCTATCTATCTATCTATCTATCTATCTATCTATCTATCTATCTATCTATCTATCTATCTATCTATCTATCTATCTGTCTGTCTATCTGTCTCTCTGTCTATCCAGCAAACAAACTACCCACATAAAGCAACATCAAATGAAAGAAACTATTTATAATTTTTTATTCATATTCGTTGTTCTGCAAATCTTCCTACACAGTGACGTAGACATGTGGGGGCGTGTTTAAACGAGGCGTTTTAGGTAGGCGTGGCTGACTCTTAACTTTTATAAAGAATATCTCTTTGGGTTTGAGACTTTAGTCTTTGCAACTTTAGGGATCTTATCTATGCACAAACAGCTTGTAACACTCCAAAGAGAAAGGAAAATTTGAAATTGCATCATATGACCCCTTTAAGTGAATTTTCTGAGTACATAATTTTCTGAGTACAGAAATCTTACAGATTTATTTTATGACTGACAAATATACATAACATTAAGTTTATGTCTATCTATCTATCTATCTATCTATCTATCTATCTATCTATCTGTCTGTCTATCTGTCTCTCTGTCTATCCAGCAAACAAACTACCCACATAAAGCAACATCAAATGAAAGAAACTATTTATAATTTTTTATTCATATTCGTAAACATATTTAATATTCAAAACACAATGTAGCTATTTATTTTTTAAATGACTGACTGGCTGACTGACGTGCATGAGTTTAAAATGTTCATCACTTGTAAAAGCCCTGAACTCAATAGAGAAAGAGTAAAACAGAAAATCTCCCTCCTCTGCCTTTATATGCAGAATGAATGACCATCTTTAAGTTTTATTTTATTGCCTTGTCACGGCTCATGGATTACCATTAAAATGCAATCAGCATGAGTGCTTGTGTATGAGTGTGAACCTGTGCTTGTAAAGTGTGTGTGAGTGTGTGTTTGAGTGAACACATTGAGTAATCAGTGGTTAAAGAAAGGAACTTTGTTGGAACCAAAAACCAAAAACCAAAAAGGTTTAGGCACATTTAGAGAAGAAGTAGAGAAAGAAAGTAGATAGAAGAAGCAAGATAATAGAGAGAAGAACACACACACACACACACACACAATGAAGGAGGCTGAGTGGATTGTCTGGATCAGATTTCTGTGGTAATGGTTGGGTGGGTCAGTGGTTAAACTGCTCTCACAAACACATTCCAGAGCTGAGGCAGAGCACATCTGGTGTGCAAGTGCAGACAAGCAGAGCCAAGAGCTTCATCAGAGTACCTCTCTCCTATTTCTCCCTCTCCCTCTTGGGTTCCCTTTCCACATCTTTCTTTTTTCTCGAATTCTTTAACACCATGATTAACCCTCATGTTCTGTTTGAGGTCTCAAAGACACCAGGGCCATTTTAATAGCTAAAAAAATCCTACTTAACAAAGTATCAGGTTGATGTTCCCTAATATTATTGGAATAGATTGAAACAGAATTAACAGCTTGCTTTCAATGGCCTCCATTAAAAATGCTGCATTTCAGCACAAGCACAATCAACATCACAAGAACTGATACCAGACTGAAAAGTGTGCTCAGTGTGTTGCAGTAAAACAAAAACTAAAATAATACAAATATTTAAAAAAATAAAAACTAAATATTGCGTATTTTTAAACAATATTATAAAATTTTAATTTAAAAGTTGTTTGTTAAAGCACGATGTTAATGCAACTGTATGTAGTTTTGTGTATTTTTACGACAATAGAGCCCCCTGCAGTTAAGTGAGTATAATCGTCATAAATATATCACTGTTGTAATTGCCGTAAATTGCTTTACACGTGCATTTGTTGCTACCATAAAGCAATCTGCTCTTTTTTGCAAAATTGTGCACCCGCTCACCGAACTTACGGAACTGACAACCGCATTCTATAACCGAACTAACAGTCACCCGTAAATTTTCAGAACTCACAACAGCATTCGCCGAAAACCTGTGCTATGTGAACAGAACCGGATTGGATACCGTGTGTTGCAAGTTTTCAAGTGTAGTTTCGGTAACTTACAGAGACGGTTTTGAGCTGTGTGCCATCCCGAAGGTTTTAGATTCAGTCACTATTCTCCACCGGAGCTGCTCCCGTCAGTTTTGTGATCAAGGCGCAACTCAAATGTCCGCTTTTCACCCCAAAATAAAATCTGCTGTTAGTTCATGTGAAATGAAGATTTGAGAGATGAACTAATGGTTCGATTTGACTTTTCAGTTTTATGGACATCACCATCTTGCGTATTACTGTCGCTGTGGTTACAAGTAAGGAATACAGACTCCCATTGCACGTTCATACAGACAGTATTCAAGATGCTACTGTAAGTTGCTGTGTGAAAGGGACATTTTGAGACTCACACCTGTAAAGTAAATGTGGTTGTCATTCCCAAAACTGACAGTGTGAACATAGCCCTAGAACAGACATTTTGGGGGGGAGCACTGGAGAGAAACATAGACATTTGCCTTATTCAGTGTACCATCATATTTTTTTTTAACTGATATTTCAAGGTAAAAACATACAGTTACTTTAAATGTTTAAAAAAAATTATACAAATGATTATTTTAAAATTAAATAAAGTAATAATAATAATAATACAAAAAAGCTGCTTGGAGCTATGT